CCACCCCGCGAGTAAAGGCGTGGACGCAGGGCGGGACCTGCTCGGCCCCGCAATGGCCCGCGTGCCCAGCCCAGGGCCGGGCAACGGAGCCGCGACCCTGAACTACTTCCCAAACATCGGCAGAATCACGCCGCTGTCGCCCTGTCCTGCTCGGAACCACAAAGGGCGGACGGAGGGAAAGGGAAAGGGGGTTAGGGTGGCCCGGAAACAGAAAAAAAGGGGGGATGAAGGTTATTTATTCTGCAGAATGGCTGCCAGGCCATACCATGCAGTGCCTCCGCTCCGCACGCCTCAATGCGTTCTATTCATCCGACCCAAAGGCGAGGGGAACAGGGGAAGTGGGCGAAAGTTCTACACCCCTCCCCCCCTTCCCCGCTTGTCCCCTTGTCCCTCTCACCATCTCCGTACCTATACCTCCACACCGCTAGCCGCAGCTCCCGTTTCTCCATACGACGACGCGGGGAAAGTTACGCAAGCAAAATGAAGGGTTGTGAAATGAGAGGACGTTACTTTTGGGCTCGGCTGCGGAAGGCTCGCGTCTCTGGGTGTGTGTGTCCTCGGAGTCCTGGTGTTGGGCGGAGCCCAGCGGTGCCTCAACGGGGCGCGCCGCGCCTCGCGCTGCCCTCCTTCCGGTCTCCCGGAGCGCGAGCGCCCTCGACACGAAGGGTGCCCTTGTCCAGGAGGGCGGTGCAGTGGCGGCGGCCACGGTCCAAGGGGTTTATGGGTCTCGTGAGTGCGGCCGCCCCCCCCCCCCTCGTCCCCCCACCAAGTGGCCGCGAGTCGCGAGTAACCGCTCACAACCGTGGCCTGAGCTTCCCTACCGCCCGCGACCCGCCCCCATCCTCAATGTGATTGTTTTTCGTCCTGTTGCAGGCATCCCCATCGTGTACATCCTGCTGGTGGTGCCGGGGCTCGTGCCGTGGGGGCGCCTCGACCGTCACGGCCACTTCCTGGCCTGGTGTCACCTGGTGGGCGCCGTGTCGCCCTGGGTGGGCAGCTTCGTGTACCACCTGTTCATGAACCTGCAGGCCGGGGAGCGGGTGTACAACCGCCTGCTCCGCTTGGACATGTTCGGCATCTGGATCTGCCAGAGCTTTGGTAAGTGCACGTGCGTTGCGACGCTCCTCGCTCCCAGTCGGCCCCCGCGACCCCTGCTGTGGCCCCCGAGGCCCCGGCCCCCCGACCCGCGTATCCGTGTCCAATCGATGCACTTGATGTACGTCAACACATGGGAGAACGGCGGTGCGGCGCGGCGGGTCGAGCCTTCCGCCGAGCATCCGCTTTCCTTCATACACGACGCGGTCGGAAAGGCAAGGCCCGGCGGCCCGGCCCAGCCCGCCCCAGTCGGCCCCTCCTTTCCCGCGACCCTTGACCTTCGCCCGCCCGCACCCCCGCTCCGCTCCGGTTGGCCGGCCCGGTTGGGCCCTTACCTCCCAACCCTCCCCGCTCGGCTGGCATATCCCTATCGCAAATATTGCTATAGGCCATCTCGTACCCTGCCCCGCATGTGTGGCTGTGTGGCCCCGGAGAGGGTCTAAGGCTCTTCGAGGCTCTCCGGATAGTTGGAAGTGAAAGGGTGTGACTATATATGCGTAACCATGTGCTCGCGCATGCTGCCCTGCAGGGGCGCTGCCGATGGTCACGGCGACCGTCTACTGCCTGCCGTGGAACGTGCGCTGGCCAGTCATCTCCTTGTACTGCGGGCTTTCCCTATGCGGTCTGTACAAGGTGGGTACTCGGTGTCGGTGCCTGTGTCCTCTAGACATGCTCCTGCTCGTCCTCATCACCAAATGCTCTTGTTGGTCTCTGCTCCGCCAGGCCATGACGGCGTGGTCGCCCTGGGACCGGCGCCTGTCCTTCGCGCTGCCTTGGGGGAGCCGGATAGTCCTGTGCCTGGTGCGCGCAGTCCTGGGCGGAGGCAGCCCGCACAACATGCTGCACCTCATCCTGCAGGTAGGATCGCTGGGGTCCATCCCGCGGCCCTCCGCCGGGATGCGTTGTACTCCGTGCTCACGCCCCTCTCTACTGTTGCAGGACAGCGTCTCCTTGCTCGGCGGGGTGGTCGGGGCCGTGTACTTCCCAGAGAAGTACTTCCCCGGTTGGGTCGACTACTGTCTCAACTCGCACAACATCATGCACATTCTGACCGTGGCTGCCGTCTACTCCATGCACTGCGCCACGATCCAGGACCTGGAGTGGATCGCGTCCGTGGACTGCAAGCCCGCGGGACCCCCATGGCCGCCGTGGGGTGCTTGGGTTCCCGGGTCCCTCGGGGCCGCCAATCAGAGCGTGGAGCTCTGAGCCGCGCGTTCTGTGCCAGGCCGAGTCCGCCGCCTCAGTGGACAATGCGAGCAAACTTTGGCTGGTTTGGCAACAAATTCCCGCCTGGTGCAAGCGGTTTTGCGGTAATGGGCAGTGTGTCTTCGTCCATTCCTTGCTGTGATCGAAGCTAGAAGTGTAGTCGTACTGACGAAAGAACAGTACAGTTGTCCCTATCTCCACCACGCGTTACAGCCAACTGTGTTGTTCTTTCGCTGGACGCACCATAATTACAGTTATTTCACTCAAATCTCATGTGTGCTACATTGCTCTGTTGTGTTTCGTTCGAGATTCTCATTTTTTCTAATTTTGTTGGTGTGATTGGTAATATTGTTTAAGGTTGATATGTTGTTAATTGAGGAAGATGAGTAGCCATAATAGGTAGGAATAGGATAAAGTGGCTCTATGAAAGGGTGAGGTCGAGCTCAGATCTTACTGTTTGGTGTCTGTGATATGTCACTATTAGAAACAAAATTTTCAAATTTTCAGACCAAGTGTCTTTATGACAATGACTTGTTTGATGACATCTAACAGCACACAAGTCAAAACTTAACAAATCCTTCATGAAGGTAAATAATCTAATTTTGATGTTATTAAAGTTGTCTTTTTCCAGAACATAGGGGGAAATTAAGAACAACCTACATTATTCCTCAAAGGACAAAATCTATATTGTTAATCAGTGAAGTCTTAGTTCTTGTTTTCTTTGTAAGCTTTTGTAATTTTATTACTCCTACAGAATTTAAAAACTCATTCCTAAAAAATCTATGTTTCATCCAATGTATTCTTTTGCATAGAATATGGACAAAACATGGATTTTTGAAAGAAACAAGTAATTTGTAGGCCAGATAATCGCTTTCTTTCCTCTAGGTTTTACTCTGTAGTGTATGGTCAGTGACAGCTGCACTAACCATTTGCATGCCTGATTTATGAAAAACTTCATTGATTGAGAGAAGTTTTAAGTACAGCACTGACCAACCTGGCAAGTACAAGTGCATTTGTCAAATATAGGGCTCTCTAAAAGAGATGTGAGGAAACTGTGCTCAGAACAAATGTGTACACTCCAAAATGTTAACAAAAGTCAACATTTGTTTTTTGAAAAAAAAAAAAGAAAAAAAAGACAAGTGAGCAAAAGTTTGCTCATGGCTGTGTAATGACTGTGATCAAACACTGTACCTCAGAATTTAAAATGCACTTTGGAAAGGAAGAACTACAGAGCATATTATTAAAAAGTGTTGTATTTTCGAGGGTAAATTGATATCTACTTACATCAGGTTTGCAAACATAGGCATCTGAGGGGCGTCGTCCTTGGCTCCATCAACAGCATTTAGGTAATATTGTCTCACTTTGTGACACTATCATTTTGCTCAAAAGTAGTCAATATATTTCTCATATAAATCATATGAAAGAGAGAAAGTAGGCAGTAGACCATTTTAGAAGCTATTCAGGTCTCCTTTGGATTGATCAGGGTTCTCAATAGAATTTGCTATTCTATTTACAGGAAATGACTTGCTTTTGAACTTAATACACAATTTAATTTACAAGACCTATCAATAGCCAAAGGTCAAAATAGACGCACTAGCTTTTAACAACTTTAGAATAACTTCTCTGCTCATTGCATACATGTATTTTTTTGTACTTGAAAAGAATTCATTAGTCTCAACAAAAACTGTGATTCTCAATGCTGATCCATGAATAACTAAAATAACTACTGTATAAAATAACTTATTTGAAGAACCAGATTGCTTTCTTAATATACCAGAATGAAGAACATGTCTCTTCCTCTTCATCTCTTGCAGAACAATACTTTCACTTTAATTCATTTACCGAAGTGTGCTTTTTACTTTGTGAATTTTATCCGTGTACAAGTTTTATGCTTTGGAATACTTGACACATTTTGAACAAAAAATAAACAACTTCACACAACTCACTTTGACCAAGATTTCAATTTTACTTTAGTCCAAATCATCATTAAAAATGCAGATAGGAATGTAAAACAGGAAAAATGAAACACTTGACATTGAATGGGATTATTCATTTGGTAAAGAGGTATGTACAGTCAACTACAGATATAAAGTTAATACAATGGAACTTTGCACATTAAGCTTCTATGCGTTCAGTAATAAAAAAAAATGAAAATAATGTACCAAAACATTCATGGATTGTTGGATTGAAAACACACATCACCCTTATAACTAAATCAAATCAGCAACTGTAAATAGAGAAAAATACATTAAATAAGAGATTACTTTTCTAATACTTCCAAAAAGATAATTTTAAAAACATGCATAAGACTTACCATTCATAGGCATTTCATCAATCTGCGTGGAGTAATACTGTTCAATATCTCGCAGAATTCTAATGTCATCACTCTTGACAAAGTTGATAGCAACACCCTTCCTTCCGAAACGTCCTGATCGACCAATTCTGATGGGAAAAAAACAAGAGAAAAATAAGTTATAACTAATGTAAAATATAGCGTAAAAAGTGAAAGTGTGTCTGAGAGTTGACTTACCTGTGAATGTACAACTCACGATTGTTAGGCAAATCATAGTTGATGACAAGAGAGACTTGCTGAACATCAATACCACGGGCCCAAACATCAGTGGTAATCAGGACTCGGCTATAAGAAAATAGACGAGAGTGTTAATGCACTGCTCAGTCATTAAAGAATCAATAGACAGACATAATAAAAAATTACCTAGCACCCGAGCGGAACTCTTTCATGATGACATCTCGTTCCTTCTGTGGCATGTCTCCATGCATAGAACTAACTGTAAAATTAGCTTCTCTCATTTTCTCCGTGAGCCAATCCACCTGTGGCAGAAGGCCAAATATTAGCAAATGTTGCAAGAAATTGCTCAAAATTTAAAAGTAAGAAAAAAAAAGGCATCTTCCATTTTAATATGCACTGATTGGAAAATTACCTTTCGCTTGGTGTTACAGAAAATTACAGCCTGAGTGATTGTGAGAGTATCATAAAGATCACACAGTGTGTCAAACTTCCACTCCTCACGCTCTACAGCAACAAAGAACTGCTTGATTCCTTCAAGTGTCAGTTCATCACTGAAAATCATAGCAAGGGTAAGTAAAGCAGCAAAATGTAAAACAGCATCTAAAATCTGAAAATATACTAACCGTTTGACCAAAATTCTGATTGGGTCAGTCATGAATTTACTTGTCATCTCAAGAATTTCATGAGGTAGTGTAGCAGATATCAGCACAACCTACAATAATGATTGATTTAAATTTGGATCTACTTTAAAGACAACAAACAAAGAACAAGATCTAAAATATTTACCTGAGTGGCGGGTGGCAAGAAGCGATATACATCATAAATCTGTTCTTTGAAACCTTTGTTCAACATCTCGTCAGCTTCATCAAGTACCAACAGTTTTATTGATCTTGTCCTCAAACTTCTTCTTCGGATCATATCTGTTGTAAAAAATATAGAGGTCACAACAAATGTAAATCATACTTTAAATTTTCATAAGAAATTTTATGTAAAGATAGAAACGCACCAAAAACTCTTCCTGGTGTACCAGAGACCACATGTACTCCGTAATCCAGCTTCCTAATGTCTTCACCAAGATTGGTACCACCAATACATGCATGGCAGTGAACATTCATGTAGTCTCCAAGAGCCAGAATGACCTAGAAAAGATAGGAAAGATTTTAATGACGGATAGACAACATTGTATGAAACAAAAACATTTTGGTGTTTTGTCGTACCTTCTGAATCTGGACTGCCAATTCACGAGTTGGTGAAAGACAAAGAACTTGAACTTCTCGCACAGAAATATCAAGACTTTGAAGAATAGAAATTGAGAATGTAGCTGTTTTTCCTGTACCAGACTGAGCTTGGGCAATCACATCCCGCCCTTTGATAATGGGCCTAATGGACCTCTGCTGAATAGCGGAGGGTTTTTCAAAACCTAGAAAAATAAAAATGATGAAAATTACACAAAAGACTTGAAAAATTATACTACAAATAAAAATCAATTGACTGCATGTGAAAGGGTGTCAATTTAAGTATGTCGGCGAATTTAATAAGCATAGGAAAAAATGTCGCTCAAGATGTAGAAAGGTTGGATAGTGATACCAATACTAAGTAACAAAAGAAAGAGAGAAAATGAAATCATGTGTGATATGAGCTCGTGTAAAGTTTAAAAAATTCTATAACTTGCAGACAAGCAACGCAAATATACGACGTAACCTCAACTTGATAACCGTTCAAGCTAGTATAATGTCAAAGTATGAACATTGAACGACGATAGCCCTAGAATTATTGAATACGTTACTTAAGGATGCTGTCACTGTAACATTTTAAAATGCCATTTTCGTCCTAGTTTGGAGGACGATTTAAATAGCGAAAGTTGTGCGTCGCTATCCAGCGACTGGACGCTTCAAGCCTAATAGTAGTGGTACAAACCATAAGCGTAGATCCCCCGCAGCAGATCTTCTCGCAGTTCCATAGAATCGAAGGATGGCAAAACTTCGACATCTTCGCTAGTTTCAAATTCAACATTTGACAAGTCTTCGTTCGGCAAAACACGCCGTGTTCTCTGTCCTTCCGCCATTTTGACTCGCTAGTTGACGACTGTTGTTTGAACTCGAGGAACGTTCCGGAACAAGGAACAGCGCGAACGGCGAAACGGAAGCAGTGCTGCCTTAGTTCCCGCGATAAATGTGGTGGTTCCCTTTGGTTTTCTGAGATTTTTTCTCACATAAGGGCTTTGGACCTCAACCTCTCGTTATTTTGACTATAAAAATTAAAGAAAAGAGGTAACATTTTCTCACGGTCATTCTTTATTTTGAAATTTGATGCGAGTCATTTTATGGTTGTTGGGTGCATCGGGAATTTCCACTTTTTTGTGGATGGGTTTAAGTCGATTTTCTGTCTGATCCGTAAGTGCCCCACCGTGCACTCACCACAGACACATGATGTTTTACTGAAATCAGGTCTGATATTTACTCGATATCTACGATCCCTTTATATGTGTACGCTTATTTCTGTGCGTAAATAAAGCAGTAGCACGCTTTTCGTTTGTGATCACATTGTTTTTACCGTCAATCGAAGCAGAACGCTCCATGTAAGGTAGTGGCGGAGCGTAGGCAGAGCCAAAGGGGTCATGTTTATTTTCGCCTGTGTAGGTAGTTCTTCTGGGACATGACGGTGTCTTTCGTCTAATCTTGCCACAACTTTCGTTGTCTGGATCTTGTAGGTAATTTGAGAAACTTGCTCAGGAAGCGTCTGTCAAACGGTGTCGATACTCATGAGCATCTGTAGCGGTCCAGTTCCTGGAAAGCTTAAATCAGGAAGCTGTCAATGTCAGTGTCAGTGTAGGCAAATTGATTTAACTTGGCCACTCCCAATTTTACTCAAGCATGCCTTTTAAATTTAAATTTTGTACTGCTACTGGATCCCCTATCCTCTCCACACAATGTTTAGTAATATTGAAGTCTATGCAACAGGCTGAAGGCTTCGTCCTATAGTTATTGAAGTAAAGCCGATAAACGTAATTATATTTGCCACTGTTTTAATGGTATCTTTTTAAAAATTTTAGCAACTTGGTGTGTTTGTTAGTAATAACACCATACAAGCTAGAATTACTTCTGTAAATTTTCCACATCACATTTCTTTTTAAAATTTTGATTTGCCAGTATTTATATTTCTACAGTAAAAGTCACGTTACTATTTCTTAGTCATAATTTTCAAATTTTCTCTACTCTACAATTTTTTTTATAATTTTTGCAGGAGAGTAAACCTCACTGTGCAGAACCACCATTACATAGTAGACGCAAATGCCTGGGTGAGTGCTTTAAAAAATCTGAGGATCTTTTTTCTTACACTTTAAAACTCTAATATTTTTAACATACAATTTATTTTGCTAACCTTATATTATATCTACCTGTGGGAAAAAATTTAACTCTTAATTGCAACACAGATTTAGATAAGTGAACCAGCTTAATATTTTCCTTAACACACTCCCATTAGCACAGCCTAAATTATGAAAGCATGTGTTACATGAGAACCAAACCTAACAGTTAATATACACCTCCTCAAACCTGTGCAGACACTCAGTGAGGTGCAAGCATACTGTCTTCCTTATCAGTTTGAGGAAGGGTGATAAGGAAAGATGCTTACTCAACGCCTATCTTATGATTCATTCCAGTATGAAAATAAATTGAGCACTCAGAAATTTGGAATGTATTATTTTTACTGTAATTAGAAACCTGTCTGTGTTGGACTGTAGACTAGCATTTAGCACAGCTATCCAGCGAGTAGAACTGCTGATGTAGCATTCCCTGAATGTTCTTAGTCAGCAAGTGCTGCCTTCAGGGCTCATCACTGCCTTGTGTCTAGAGACTACTTCCACTTTTGTTCGTTTCTGGAATGAAAGTATCTTAAATGTGCCTATATTGTCCTGACCTGAAGAGCTAATTGAAGGAAATCTTTACCTGTTTGTGCTGTTGTGTATAATTATCATATAAAAATGTGGCATTCTGGATCAAGTACACCAGTTGCACCATTAGCTCTTCAATCTCTTGATCATAGTCAACTGTATCAGAGACGAACCCATCAAATGGGAGATGGAAATGACCCCAGAACTGAAGAAATTGACAATTTAAGTCCTTCAACTGGTGATTATGAAGATCTTAGTGAACAGGATTGGGCAGATGCTGAAAATTCCCTTTCCTCCATTTCAATATCTTCAGGCCAGATGTCATATGCTAAACCCACTCGACCCACTTTTCTAAAGCTATCCTCAACGAATACTCCTGCTTTGTTTCCGACCAGAAGTGTTTCAGAGACATCCTCACCTCTGTACATGCATGAAAACAGTAGCAACAGCAGGTAATTTTAATCGCCCTGATATTGGTGTGGCAGTCAGTTATTATGAAAGCCAGACACAGGATTGATTAAGTATTCTTACAGGCGCTCTTACAAGCAAAAGCTGCAAAAACTTTGCAAAAATAAATTCTCTTTAAAATCCATATAAAATATGAGATATTTTGGGAATTACATGAGATTGTTTAATTTACAGGATCACAGGAAATATGTCGCTGGGGAATATGTTTTGTTCCCGCTGCAATGATGGTTTTGAACCTCATGAAAAAATTGTCAACTCAAATGGTGAACTATGGCACACCCAATGCTTTGTGTAAGTCTAATATCATACTATTTATTTAATCAAACATGTCATTTTTTAAGACTCCACTAAATTGTTAAATTTGTAACTCATTTATAAACCAAATCATATGTCAGGTGTGCCCAGTGCTTCCGTCCATTCCCTGACGGAACTTTCTATGAGTTTGAGGGAAGGAAATATTGTGAGCATGACTTTCATGTACTGTTTGCCCCATGTTGTGGAAAGTGTGGTTAGTAACTTGCATATTTTTCCTAGTGCTCACATTAATTCTGGTGTCTAACTTGCATATTTTTTTCTCTAATCAGGTGAATTTGTGATTGGACGAGTGATCAAGGCTATGAATGCTAATTGGCATCCCCGCTGCTTCCGATGTGAATCTTGCAGCAAGGAACTAGCTGACTTGGGTTTCATTCGGAATCAGGGGAGAGCATTGTGCCATGAGTGCAATGCCCAGGAGAAGGCTGTAGGCCTTGGGAAGTACATTTGCCACAAATGCCAGTAAGTTCCACCTTTGTACATGTAATGAAGTATCTATGATGAATATTTTGATGTCTAACATGTTAATGTTTTCAGTGGTGTGATCGATGAGAAGCCTCTCAGGTTCCGTGGGGAGGTTTACCACCCATACCATTTCAATTGTGCTTCATGTAAAGTTGAACTAAATTCAGATGCAAGGGAAGTGAAAAGCAGACCAGGATTCACCTCAAATGAAATGGTAGTCATTTATCTTATTTTATCAATTCAAATGTGCTTTATTTTTGTATTCTTTACCAGTATTGTTGTGGTTTTTAGAATGAACTGTACTGTCTGCGATGCCATGACAAAATGGGCATTCCTATTTGTGGTGCATGTCGTCGACCTATTGAAGAGAGAGTTGTGACAGCTCTAGGCAAACATTGGCATGTTGAGGTATGGTCCATTCTGCAATTTTTAGTTAAAATTCCAATTCTTACATAAAAATAAATACACTTTTATATTATCTATTCTAGCACTTTGTTTGTGCCAAGTGTGAGAAGCCATTTTTGGGGCATCGCCACTATGAAAAGAAGGGATTGGCCTACTGTGAGACTCATTACCATCAGTTGTTTGGAAACCTTTGCTTTGTGTGCAATCAAGTTATTGCTGGCGATGGTAATTGCTAATTACTAATAATTATTGAATTGAATTTTGTGATTTGCTTAAGATGTAGTACTAATGTCATCAATTTCCTTTTAGTATTCACTGCTCTCAATAAGGCATGGTGTGTGCATCATTTTGCCTGCTCAGTTTGCGACCAAAAGATGAACCAGAAGACGAAGTTCTATGAATGTGACTTAAAGCCAGTTTGCAAGAAGTGCTATGACAAGTATCCTGCAGAAGTACGCCGCCGGCTGCGCAAAACTCATGAAGCTACTCCCAAAAAGGCAACTGTTTAACTGACAAGGTATTGGGTAAATTTCTGCATTTTTTAATGAGAAATGGTCATTATTGACCTATGCAAACCAGCACAATTATGACACATTTTTTTTCTTTTCTTTGGTGAAGTACTGGTTAGGTGTGGTTGTATTTGAATAACCTAGTAACTAGGAATTGATGAATTTAATTAACATCGTTGTTGATTGTTTTGTTTGATATATTTAGACACACTTGACATACCTGATTGAATTCTTGCCTTCTGCTTTAGTTCAGTGTCTCATTTACACTCTTTTAATTTATTCTGATCATGATAAGCTTTTAATATATCTATCTAGTGCTTTTATGATGAAAAGATAACTGACCAAATGTATTTGCCTTAGATATTGTATCTATTTACATATTTCACTTTTTAAAAGCCTATTTTTTGAAAAACAGTTATATATTCTAACAACTAGTCCAGTTAGCAGTGACTGCAGGACATGAGCAGGGTTATTAATTGCTAGTATTGCATCCCTTTTGTTTCACTCTTGTAGTCGGTGGTTAAATTATAGTCTTATTGTCTTAAAAGACTGCCAACTTCTTTTGTTAAGATTTTATAAGACACAATAGCATAGTATATGTCCCATGTGTTCCATCCTCATCAGAGCTTTGTAGCTTATGTACACTTTACGTGAAGCTTGTGCCCATGAGTATTATTTTAATAGTCTCAGGTGTATTTTAACAACTTATTTATATTTTTGATTTTAGCTAAACACTCCAAAAAAAAGGAATAAAAAAAGTAAAGCTTAACCACAATCAATGTCTTTTCATTAAAACTAGATTAATAACCCAAATTCAGGGCTCCGTAACTTATAACACCAATGAATGTTAGTTACTCTACGTAACAAAACACACGTCAAATTGAAAGTTAAAGTTAACAATTTTGAAATATTCCCAATATTAATCGTACATACTACATACTGTGGAAAGTTGGACAAATCAAATAACTTACTGATTTCCAAAGGACTACAGCTAAAGTTACAAAAATACTGTTTAAGGCAGTTAAGTAATAAGTTAAGAGCCCTGCCCAAATTTTTGCCTGATAATACTGCATTTAAGGAATCATGGCACATAGTTGCAAATCTCATTCCAACACCAACCTGGATCCTCACCATACGTTTCGTAATCCACTACTCCACAATCAATCAATCAAACCATTAAAGAAAACACATGACAAATTCATTTTATTCATGATTTGTGATCAAAAATACAGTATGACAAATTGACTTCCTCCTTACACATTGTGTAAAGAACCGTAAAACAGTCTAATATGGACCATGCGGGGTAAAGTGGACCACCCTCTTTTTTATATGCTTTGCCTCTGCTCGACTCGTACTACCACTTAGTTGTGTTCCTGACAATGCTGGGCGACAGCTCAGTGGTTGCACAAGTCCAGCAGAAGCAGAACATAGGAATAAGAGGGTGGTCCAATTTACCCCGCATGGTCCATATTAACCTGTTTAACAGATTTCATGAAAATATAAGTCTACAACATAATTTAAAACATTAAAGGTAATATAAATGCCTGAAAAATTAACTTTCAACATAACATATTTCTACAATATCACCATACACAGCATTATAAATCAACCACCAAAGTTGGCATTATTACCTCAAAACTCAATTTTTCAGTCCATTATTGTTAAACAATAAACGGAAACTTCACTGCAATTAAATGAAATCTTGTGGAAAAATGTACGAAGAAGAAAAACTAGTGTGCAAGAAGTGCATATGAATAAGTATAATTCTTACATTGCTTCAGTCAACATAACGCACAATTAACATGGACAAACTGCACCACTGTTTCATATTACTCTTTAAAAAAAAATAATGAAGGGCAGCAACAATTGTTTCAATTACACATTCAACAAAAACATCTCTCACTTATTTAATATGGTGCACACATGCTTGATACTCTGTTCTACAACAGATCAATGACATTTCCAGTTCTCTGCTTATCTTATTATTATAAGGTATAAATCACTGAGTTGCCTTGGATTTTGATTTGACCTTTTTAGTTTTCTTCAGACCATCCAAGTTACCCTTTAACAAACTGCTATATGCCAATTGGAATTTATTAACATCCTTTGGAGCAACCTGTCACACAAGGTATCATACTTTAATTAAACATTTAATTTGAGAAATCATCATTGTGATTTAAAGATGTTATTTGCTGTGCATCACTTACCACGGTACTAATAGTCTTATTCCTGAGTGTTGCTCGGATTAAACAAAAATGATGTTCAGGCTCAGGTAATGGTTTTTTACCTTCCCTTGGTTCTGGTCTGTTACGTCCGTCATCTATGAACATGGATATAAAATTCAGAACATAAGAGGGAAAAATTACGAGAGAGAGAGGGAACCAATCAATAAAATAACAAGAGTATCAGATAGTTTCCACTTACATCTTTTCATAACAAGTGTGACAGAACCCTTAGCTCGTGAACGTTGAAACATTCTTGTTAATTCACTGAGAAACTGGAAAATAAATCAAGGGAAGTTACTATCCAAGGAAAGCATGATAAAAATATTCTCAAAATGTTAAATTATGACTTTCATGTCAGTGAGTGAAACAGCATATTTTTCACAATTCTGAAGGAGGATCAGTAAACAATGTAGCATCAACTAGACTGAACGGGATAAAGCGATGGAGATGGCTGATTGAATATTAGAACTTGATGATTTCTTGGAAATATAGACAGGATAAGAAAAGACTTTTAAAAGGCCGCATGTTAACCTCAAAAGTTCAGCTTCCAGCAGACGGATCTATTTTGTACATCGGCTATGATCATTGGAGTTATTACGTTCACGAATTTAAGGTGCACGGGTTTGGTACATCATAATATAACCAAAAGCATATCAATATGACGACATTAACTTACTTGATCTTGGTCTAATAACACCATCGTGTTTGATTTGTCTGTCTTGTTGTGTTGTGTTGGCCGCTGATTTCCCTTCAAAGTAGTGGCGCCCTCTACTAAGTCCTCTCGTCCACTTCACGTACTCGTAGTCGAGCGCTATTCGGAATTCCAAGAGGGCTGATCCGGTTAAAAAATGTAAGTTTTCAAACTTGAATGAACGTAGGACAACAGACAACTGAACAAAATCTCTTGTGGTGGTCAAAACAAAGTACCGGTATGTGTTTTCCACGCGGACATTCGAAGGTGGGGTGGGAGGTGGGTTAGGTTGTGCGAGGAGCATGCTGTGCTGTTTGGCATGTATAGTCGGCCCAGCGATACTTTGGTCTTCGGATCCCACGGCAGCGCCATTGCCGCTTATGGGAGCCGAAGACCAAAGTATCGCTGGGACGACTATATTTTTCCCCCCT